GTGTGTGTGTGTGTGTGTGTGTGTGTGTGTGTGTGTATTATATGTATGTATATACTATATGTATGTTGAACTTTTATCATTTTTACTATTCCAAATTTTTTTTTCATCAATTCAATATTAACTTTTTTGAGAATTTCATACATATATATACTGTATTTGCATCCTTCTCTCCCTCCTCCAACTCCTGGCTGTCCTCAACTACACCCTCGTACTCATGACCCTCTCTTCATCTAGGGGCGGGGTCTTGTGAAATGTTCCTCTATCCATGTTGGCATGTCAATTGGAAGGCACACCAATTTGAATTTTCACTTGCTTTGCCTATTTCCCCAAATCAGAATTAGTGGATATTAATCCTCTTTCATCTTTCCAATTTTACAAGTAAAAAAAACCTCACTGCAACTTATATTTGATATGCAACAACATATTTCCAATTGTTCACTAGCCATTTTATATTTTTCTTTTGTGAACTCATTTTGTGAATCAAGTGGATATAGGAACATTTAATATGATTAAACTTTATTTTGTTAATGGTATATATTAACATTCTATACATTATTTATATATTTAACCCTACTGAATTGACAAAGCAGTAAAGAAGTACTGTTTATAGCCAACAAAGTATATACACACATAAATGCAAAACTTAGACAAAATATCACTCAAAAGTATTTAGAAGGCAGATCATAATCTCTGAAAGGTACATAAATTCATTTAAATAAAACATGACACTGTTTTCTATAACTGTTTTTTCATTCTAAAATTCCACAAATCAAGAAAAGCAAATATTAAAGAAAGCAAAACTGACCAAGGGACCCATAGCAATTCATCAACTTTTAATCTAAGAAATGAAAAATGAAGAACAAATACACATAGGAGAAAAATAAGACTGTCATAATGATAATGTTCCAAATTTCTCATTATAAACATATATACCTTATGAATTCTTCGTACTAAGACAGATGCAAAAAACCGTAAGGTGATTCTCAGTTCATCAACAAAGGACTCATCATCTGTCACATCCCTTCAATTAAGGAGAAAAGCAAAAATTCAGAAGTTCTGAGAAACACAGCTTCACCTTGCTAAAACCAAGAAAATAATTTTTCTTTCTTTTTTTTAAAATGTACTTATCGGGGCAGTGGTGGCGGGGAGGGAGGGAGGGAGGGAAAAAATGTATTTGTTATTTCCTCTTTTCACTTACAAATAATATATTTTGTGGGAGAACAGAAAAAAAATGGATAAAAAAGGAAACAAATCACTCGTGATTTTAGCTCTAAATCATAATCACTATTAACTATTTCCTTGCATATATGCACACAAGAGCCTTTTTCAAAGAACTAAGACCATTTTCAGAGCATCATCAAATAAACTTCAAAGAAAACAAAACAATCAATGATGGAGAAATAATAAGATACAACTTTTTAAAGTTAGTTTAAAATATTTAAAAAGTAGTGTAATTCTCAAAAGGGATGGTATGCTCAAAGAAAAATTAAGTGAAAATCTACCTTTAGGCAAAGATTCTGCCACTGAACCACATGCCTAGCCGAAAAAATTCTTTTTTTTTTTATTTTTTATTTTATTTGAATTACAAACAAGATTGAATTACATGACAATCCCAGGTCCCTTCTCCCTCTCTTCCTCCCCTACCACCCCCCCCAACTAAAATCCTACCTATCATATGTCCTTTCTTCTAATCTACACCTGACTCAACCTTTCTGCTCCCTCAGGTCCTCTGCATCCTTCCTTTTCTTCCCTTCTCATTCTTGTAGCTCCCTCCCCCCCTTCCCATGTTCTCAATTTGCTCAGGGGATGGTGACCCTTTCCCCTTCTCCAGGGGACAATGTTTGTCTCTTTTAGGGTCCTCCTTGTTTACCAGTTTCTCTGGCAGTGTGGATTGTAGGCTGGTAATCCCTTACTCTATGTCTAAAATCCACATATGAGTGAGTACATATCATGTTTGTCTTTTTGTGATTGGGTTACCTCGCTCAGAATAGTTTCTTCTAGTTCCATCCATTTTCCTGCAAATTTCAAGAATCCATTGTTTTTTTTTTTTGCTGAGTAGTACTCCATTGTGTAAATGTACCACATTTTCTCTATCCATTCTTCGGTTGAGGGGCATCTAGGCTGCTTCCAGTTTCTGGCTATTACAAATAGTGCTCCTGCAAACATTCTTAAACTGAAATTCTAACCAATTTCACAGGAAGACGAACTTCTCATTTTCCTGAAATCTTTTTTTTTTTTTTGAAACAGTCTCTCTACATAGCCTTGGCTGTTCTGAAACTTACTATGTAGACTAGGTTGGCCTCAAACTTAAGAGATCTGCCCACTTCTGCCTCCTGAGTGCTGGGATTAAAGGTGTGCACCATCACACCCAGCTAATTTTCCTGAAATCTTTACGACCTTACAGAAGTACAGCCTCTTTTCTAATCAAAGACAAGAAAGAGTGATGTGAATAATGATCACATCCTAAACTTGACGATGGAGCTATTTATGAGCTATTTATTACATGTCTAAGCAGAATATGGGAAACAAAAGTGTCAGCCACACCTCCTGCTGCCCACTCAGAGGAGCTACAGTAGCATCACTATATGTGCTCTAGAAATACAACCAGATTTTATGTCTGAGAAGTCTCAATTTGGCAATGAAAGAAAGGAAGTGTCTTTAGAAAGATTATTTAACAAAAGGTTTCATCAGTAGCTTTGTTTAAATGACAAATACTCCACATTTAAGATAAAATAAAATGTAAAAAAAAAAAAAAAAGAGAGAGAGAGAGAGAGAGTTAGAAAGGCCACTCAATGGGTGATGACACAGTCCCCAGAGCCCATATGGTGGGTGGGAAGAGAGAAGCAGCCCTGGCAAGTTGTCCTCTGACCTCTATTAAGTGTCCTCTACATTGTATGTGTAGTACATACACAAATAAGTGTGAAAAAATAATACACATTTTCAGAAAAATGTAGCATATAAATTGCTGTGTTAAATTAGTCTTAAAACACTATGGATGAACAAATAACTTTTTTTTTCTTTTATTTGGTTTTTTGAGACAGGGTCTCTCTCTATGTAGCTCTAGCTGTCCTGGCTCTGCAGACCAAGCTGTCCTTGACCTCACAGAGATCCTCCTACCTCTGCCTCCTGAGTGCTGAGATTAAAGGCTTGAACTACCCCCGCCAGGCAGTAGAATGTTTTTAATTAGGAAATATAAAACATAACTGAATCAATACAAAAGTGACTTATATAATTAGACATTATATTGTCAGATTTACATGTTCAAATATAATAAACACATAGTGCTTACCTAAAAAAACATACATTTATAAAATGACATAATTTGGATGCCTGACTCTAAATTAAAATCTCATTTTTCTTTTATTGAGCTAGAGTGTTTTCTACATTCTGCAGAAACAACACTATACCCTGTATGCACTAAAAACAAAGTTTCTGGTGGGGGGGGCAGCTTGGCATTATTTTTTCAGAGAATCTATGAAATGACCTTTCAATTTATGTGTATATGGGTATCTGTGGGTGGAGGCATGTATGCACACATGTACACAGAGACCAGAGGTCAACCCTGGCCGTTCCCCAGCTATCACCCACCTTACTATAGGGCCTAGTACTCCCCAAGCCTAAACTAGGCTTCCAGTGATCCCCAGTGGTTCTCTGGCCTCTGGCTGCTCAGCACTGGAATTACAAGCATTTGTGAATCACGACCAGCTTTTCACCTGTGTACTGGGGATAAATTCAGGTTCCCATACTTGCATGGCAAGTACTTTACCAAGTTACGTCCCCAGCCCTGTAAAAACTGTGTAAGAAAATCATGTTGTTTGCTACAGAGAGGAGCTCCTTATAGAGGTCAGGTGGGCTCAAATAATGCAATTCTCCTGCCTGCCAAGTGCTGTGATTAAAGGCTTGTGTCATTATGCCCAGCTCATCAATGATTCTTAATTGGAGCCAATTAAATCTTCTGGATATTGTTAGGGCATTCTGAGGATCTTTATGGTAGTCAGACTGAAAGAGAGTGTACTACTAGCATTTAATGGGAAATAGGTCAGGGACACAGCTAAATATCCAGTAATGCAGAACATAGCTCTCCACAAAGAAGATTTGGCCTTGTCACTGAAAAGTCCTGACTTACACTGAAAATGTATCATTAACATGCTTAGTTTAATCCTATTGACCATATTAAGGGCAGGCATGGGGTGAAGTGGAGCTCTTATGGAAAAAAAAACATACCTGTACCATGGATAAACAAAGTTTTCCAACACTAATTCAAGAACCTGCACAAAAAAATATTAAAGAAAAATAATTATAAGGAAATAAAAATGTACTACTAAGTGATATATATTAGCAACAACCAATTTTATTATACCAAATAGTGACAATATCTCTTTTTGGGGAGGAAAAGGGTTGAAGACGGAGTTTCTTTGTATAGCCTTGGCTGTCCTGGATCTAGCTCTGTATACTAGGCTGGCCTTGAATGCAGATACCCATCTATCTACCTCTGCCTTTGTGTGATCCATTTCTCTTTTAGACTGGATCAATTTCATGTAGCCCAGGGTGGCCTTAAACAGAGATCTGTCTGTTTCTGTCACCCAAGTGCTGGGATTAAAGGTGTCTACCACCACTGCCTGGCCTCTATGACTACTGTCCTACCACTGTCCCTACCACTGTCCAGCTGACAAAACTTCTTGACAATGTGTTAATGTCAACTCTACATGGTTATGAGGCTCAATCAGAACTGAAGAAAAAAACATACTTGAAAATTATATAATCCAGAAAAAAAGTTTTTTATTAGAATGACATACATATCTCAAATATCTCCATAAAGTGTTTCAACAAGGGCCATCAAGATGGCTCAGCAAGTAAAAGTACTTACTTGAGTAAGCCTGGTGACATGAGTTTGATTCCCAGAATCCATTAAAAGGCACTCACACACAGCTTCACACACACACACACACACACACACACACACACACACACACACACCCACCCATATACAAGTATCCCACACACATATCATGTACATACATACAAACAATAATAAATTTTAATTTTTTCAGTGAATTGTTCCTGATTGTTCCTGACTGGTTTTACTAAACAAAAACCAAAAACTGAACAACTGAAAAAAAAAAAAAGTATGTAAGATTTATGCAGACTCAAAATCAGGTGTCTCTGATTTTCTCTGAAGGAACAATGGTGACTGAAGGGCATGAAGAGAAGAGAAATTCTGGAGTACTCCTAATGTTTTATTTCTTGCTCTGATGATACTTACATAGATATACTCACTTTCTGAAAACTTTAGCTGTATACTTAAAACCAGTATATAAGACAGCAGAACAAAATAAATCCTAACTTCAGTTAAATATTCTGTTTCTTGGGTCTGAGTGGAGTTACATGTTGTAACTTTAAGAAGGAGTTGCAGCATTGTGCAGTAACTTAAAAGAGCAAAGGCGAGAAGAGGAAGCAATGTGCAATAGCTAGTTTTATGTCAACTAGAAACAGCCTAGAAATAATTAAGACAATTAAGGGTTGGGGGGGGTTGTTGCTAACCTTTAATGCCAGCACTCAGAGGCAGAGAGAGACAGGCGGATCTCTGTGAGTCCGAGGCCAGCCTGGCCTACAGAGTAAGTGCCAGGAGAGGCTCCAAAGCTACAGAGAAACCCTGTCTCGAAAAACAAACAAAAAGATTCACCAGCCAGGAGGTGGTGGCCCACACCTTTAATTCCAGCACTCAGGACGCAGAGGCAAGCAGATCTCTATGAATTGTAGGCCAGTCTGGCCTACATATTGAGTTCCAGGACAGCCAAGGCTTCAAAGCCACAAAAAAAAAAAAAAAAAAAAAAAAAAAAAAAAAAAAAGGGGGGGGGGTTAAAAAAGGAAAAAAAAAAAAAGATTTACCATTTCCCTTCCCTGGCAGTAGTAACCAAAGATGTCCATTGCTAATCAATAAGGCTAAAATCATTTGTTTTGCGTTTTTAATTACCAAAACTAAGCATTCACTATACTGGGGGGGGGAGGGGCAATCACTAAACCCTTAGCTCTCTTCTGTGGCTCTACTGCTTGTTTTATTTCCCATCAATGATTGTCAGCTAGTCCCCCAGCTTCCAAGCTTGCTACCCTCTAGTCTCCAGAGGTACCAGTGATCTAAAACATGCATTCACCACACACTTCCCTATGAAACCCTCAACAGAATACACCAAACCAAAATACCTGAAAAGCAAAATGCTGGGCTAATTCTGGAGAGCCCACACGCCAGCAACCACCACCACTTACTCCCTTTTCACTTCTTGCTACATCCTGAGTCACATCTAAGGCTCTAGTCAGTCTGAAAACCATTGGCTTCCAAGTTCAAATAACTGATAGCCTATGGATTTCTTTTTCTTTGAGACGGGGTCTCTATATATCCTGGAACCCACTAAGGAAACCACAGAAATATGGCTGCCCTGCCTCCCAAAAGCTAGGATAAAAGGTGTGCACCTCCATGCCCAGCATCATTCCCTAACAACTATATAAAATACTAAGAACTAAGCATTTTCATGTGTGTCTGTGTGCAAGCAGTGATTGGAGGCTAGAGATATACTACCGATTTCCACCTTCTCCCCACACCCCACCATCCCCCACCCCCAGCAGTGCTGGTGACTTGCGCATGCCAGGCAAGCACTCTACCATTCAATGACATCCCCAGGCCTCCACCTTATTTTTGGAGGCAGGATCTCTCACTGAACTTTGCTGTCTGTCTCCACAAATGCCCGGTGCTGGTATACAAGCACTGGTGGGGAAGCTTGAGAACTAACTCCAATGCAGATCCTCACATGTACCTGGCAAGCACTTCACCCACTGCAAGCTACTTCCCCAACACCCACTCTCACACCTAAACTTTAACCAAGTTCTACTGATAATAACACTTGAGGATTCTATTAAATCTCTCTAACTCCTAGTTTGCCTTGAAAATGCCAATAGTATCCATTTCATAAGCTATATGTAGATTACACATGCAAAAAAAGTGTGTTGTTAACAAAGAGCCTAATGTACAATAAGTATATCCATCCATAAACGACAGCTACTAAAATATTGTGTCTTCGCTGCTACCACCCCTCACATTTTACCCTCCAGCTTCCTAAACACTCCACCTGTCCAGCCTCTTCCTCTCAGGAAGTCTACCTGAAGGACCCTTTCCAGCAACCACATGGTGGTTGCCAACCATCTATATTGGGATCTGATACCCTCTTTCTGGTATGCATGCAGGCACTTATACCTTAAAAAAACATAAATGAATAAATTTTTAAAAAAAAGAGTTCAGTCCGGCAGTGGTGACCCACACCTTTAATCCCAGCACTCAGGTGGCAGAGGCCGGTGGATCTCTGTGAGTTCAAGGCCAGGCTGGTCTACAAAGCTACAGAGAGAAATCCTGTCTCAGAAAGAAAGAAAGAAAGAAAGAAAGAAAGAAAGAAAGAAAGAAAGAAAGACTTCAATGTTCCTTTGCAAATGGTTATTTCCCTATCATAAAGACACCTGTTCTTACAGCAGAAATTTTCTTGACTGAAATGTCTATGTAAATTTGAGTTGTGAGTATAATTTGGAATATCTTAATATTCAAGGTGCTTACTTTGTAATAATTACCTAGCCAAGAACTCATTAGGTGATATACATTCAGATGTAGTTGCTTTGTTTGTTTTTATTGTTATTGTTTAAGACAGGCTCTGTAACTCGGGCTGGCCTAGAACTTGACTCTGTAGCCCAGGTTGGCCTCAAACTCATGATCCAGCTACCTCAGACTGCCAAGTGCTGGAATTACAGGAATGAAACACCACACCTAACTTCATAAGATGTATCAAGATTAGATTTTCTGATAAAAATATCAGGAAATTCTCTATTGGTATTCAATATTTTTTAATTGGATATATAGTCATACACCAAATATTTCAACCAACACAGATGGCATATTTAACAGTAAACTCTTAAGACTATAAAAGTTCCCAGCCAGGTGGTGGTGGCGAACACCTTTAATCCTGGCACTCGGGAGGCAGAGGCAGGCGGATCTCTGTGAGTTCGAGACCAGCCTGGTCTACAAGAGCTAGTTCCTGACAGCCTCCAAAGCCACAGAGAAACCCTGACTCAAAAAACCCCAAAAAAGAAAAAAAACCAAAAGACTATAAAAGTTCCCACCTCCTGGGAGTTGGGGGTGGGTATCACAGCTGTTATAGCACACATCTGCCTATATGTTCATAACAATTCAGGTATAAACAAAACTACTGTGCTGACAGTTATAATCTATGGCATATATAATTATACATAGTATGTAACACTTGATAATATATTTATATAATATTTATTACTAGTTTATGAATTTACTATGCTATTCATAGTTTTCATCTATGGCATATTATACTTTATAGTAGATGTTTATATAGTTTTATATGTTTATATCTGTGCAAGTTAGTTTTAACTGTCAACTTCACCTAACCCAGAATCACTGTAAAGTCTCAAATAGGAATTATTTAGATCAGGTTGGCCTATCTGGGAATATATATATTCAATATATATATATATATATATATATATATGTCTTAATGGTTAATTGATGTAGAAGACACAGGCCACTATGGACAACACCATTCCCTAGTCAGGGGCTCCTGAATAATGTAAAAAAATAGTTTGCTGGAACGAAGCATGCAGGATCCCTATGTTTACACTCTGCCCTGACTTTCTCCCAGCAATGGACTAGACCATGAAACTATCAGCCAAATAAGCCCTTTCCTCCCATAAGCTGTTTTGTCACAATTTTTTATCACAGCAGCAGAAATTAAATTAGAATAATAGTGTACTTTTTATTTTAGTTTACTCCCATTTATTAAATTTAAAAAAGGATTTTCTCTAAAACAATACACATGCCATGTTAGGCCAGCAGCAGCTTCAAATAAGTGTAATTTATACAACCCTTGTCGGCACCAAGAAGCCCTATGCACTGACTACAGGTTTGTGCAAGCACACTTTGTGATGCTCTCACAGGGACAAAACTGCCTATGATTTTCAGAACACGATCCCGTCCTTAAAGAATACAAGCTCATATTTGGCAATGTTAGTTACATTACTTACCTCTGAGAGAGAGGCATCAACCTTGGAAGGCACTTTCAGGTCTAGCCAGGGCTGGTAGTTTTCAAGCAGCAAGGAAGGCCTGAAGTGAATCAAACAATGAAATCACTTGTAATAAAATGTAGTAGAATGATGAACAAATGAAAGTATTTAACATGGGGCCAGCAAGATGGCTCAGCACTAGGTGAGAGCCCTTGCTTTACTCAGAAGCTCAAGTACTTGAGCTTGATTCACAGAACCCAAACAAAGGTGAAAAGAGAGGACCAGCTCTACAGGTTATCCTCTGACCTCCAGACACATAGTATGGACACACACACACACACACACACACACACACCAAGCACAACTTACAAAGAAGTTTAACTTACCTATGTCGTTTACATTTCACTTTACCACAAACAGCACAGCTGTGACCTTGCGGGAATAACTCTTGAAGTCCTAATTGCTAAAAAAAGGAAAGAAAAAAGAGATTCGTCTTTAGTTTCTCTACTACAAAGAATCAATTTTCCAAAAGCTTTTGTTGTCCTCCATGAGAGCATTCAAAGGACTTTTTTTAAGTGCTTCAAAAATAAAACTATTATTTGTAATAAATACCTGTTAAATTAACTGCCAGTGGACACGAAACACCTTATGAACTGCTTTACAATACATAAGCTGGGCCTGGGGTATAACTCAGTGGTTCAGTAGTAGAGAATTTTCTAGCATGTACAAAGACACAGGTTCAATGCTTACCACCAGAAAAAAAGATAAGAGTGGGAACCAAAAATAAAGGTTCTCTTAGCAGACATGGTGGTACATGCCTGTAATTCCAACTCTCAGGAGGCTGAGGATCTAAAATTTAAGTCCCATGAGACCCTGTCTTTAACCAAAGATAAATAAATAAACATATACCTAAATAAATAAATAGTCTGCCTTTGACTGTGTCTTGTACTGCAAAAATGTAAGAAAAAAAAATACTACTCTCTGTTTCTCCCAAAGCTTAGCTTCAATGAGGGAGAAGATGTGATAAATACTAAGGGCCATAACCAAGACAACCCAGACTTCTGTGTTTCCTCTACACAGAAATACCACAAACCTAAAATGGGGGACTATATCAATTTAAAGGACAGCACTTGAATAGTGGGTACAAGGCCCCATGCTTTCTCTTTATCAGTAAAGGGAAAAAGGTATCTCACTAAATTCTGACCTGCTGATAGAATTTGAAAAGTCAGAATTTTGCCTTACAGAGGACAAAGTTAATATACTACTACCACCACTATTCAATTTCAGAAATATAAATTATTTTGGCTAAACACACACACACACACACACAGAGAGAGAGAGAGAGAGAGAGAGAGAGAGAGCGAGAGAGAGAGAGAGAGAGAGAGAGAGCGAGAGAGAGAGAGAGAGAGAGAGAGAGCGAGAGAGAGAGAGAGAGAGAGAGAGAGCGAGAGAGAGAGAGAGAGAGAGAGAGAGAGAGAGAGAGAGAGAATTAACCGAATTGTATTATTATTTAACCCAGAATTCCTTAAATATCTGTGCTTCAGAATTACCTGGAAAGCTTTTAACAATACTATTCACAGGGCAGTAGCCTAGAACTTTTTAATGAAACTCTGGGAATAAGGTTCAACAATCCAGACTGTGGATGATGCCCAAGAAGGATCTCTTGTACAACCACTTTTGTAAACCTCTGTTCTAAGCTAATCGCCCTTGTGATTAGCATGTCCCTAGGAGACAAGCTGACACTGTGAACTGCAACTTTCTGAGAAGATTGTATTTTCCTTTTACAGTTGATATTAGAACTGTAAACCTTAAAACTAGGACTCAAGATGCAGCTCAGTGGGTAATTACATGCAAAGGCCTAGGTCCAATCCTCAGCAGCAAAATAAATAAATAAGTAAATGAAAATAAAGTCGAGTTAAAATAAGTATCTATACATTTATTCATGCATATACATGTAAAAGCACATAATGCTCATTTTAAACTTTTTCAATGGACTTCATGTATTCCATTATAAAATAATAATAATATGTAGATTTTAAAAACCATTGCTCTAAAATGCTTTTAGTAAAAAAAAAAAAAAAAAAAAAAAAAAAACCCTAAACACCAGAGTCACATAAACTGACTTGGAAAATTAAAACACAGGGCTGGAGAAAGGGTTCAGCAGTAAGCACACATGCTGTTCTTCCTGAGGGCCAGGGTTCAGTTCTTAGCACCTGCACTGCTCACAACTGCCTGTGACTCCAGCTCCAAATTTTAACGTAAAAATTTTAAAAACACAATTTTACCTTAGGTTTGTATTTTATTGTGAAGAATATATTTGGCAAGAGAGAATCAGGTCCTAATGAACAGTAGAATGTCACAACTCCAGCAACAAATGACCAGAAGATCATTAAGACATGAAGATACCTTAGAAATAAATAAAAATGATCAGAATCAAAGAAATGTATAACATTAAAAGCTATTACTTTATTGATCTGCCATATATTTATTAATCAAAATCAATTTTAAGTTTTCCAATCAATTAACTTTCTGTAATATATTTGTTAGCTATAACATAAACAATAAATATATTAACAAATACATAATTTCATTCAAGTATAAAAGGAAACTAGGTTCAACATTTCATAGTTTCATTTCCATGCTTTTATGTTTAAAGTAGTCCAAATTCATTCTTCCAGAATACCCTCTATTCTCACATTCTAAAATTATAATGATCATTAAAATTAAAATTAATTTTTCTAAGTGCCTACTTTGTGTTAGACAGTGTTATGCTCTGGAGATAGATAAAGAACATCACTACCATGGTCTCTAGTAACACAGAGATCAGTCTGGCAGTGAGAGTTTAATAAATGAGTATAATACAATGTGAACACGGGTTTGGTATTATGAAACAGAACTTAATAGCTATAGAAAAACTTAATGAGTGGATAGGGGAAAACAAACAGAAGAGGGTAGGGGAAGGGAATGAGGGGCTGAGAAAGATAGGGGAATTCCAACTTGAGAGTACTACATGGCTATGATCTGCACATAGTGTCCACAAGTAGAGATTTAGGACACTTGTTGCTTTTTCATCAGGAGCCAGGTTTGATTCCCAGCACCCACATGGTGGCTCACAACCATTTGTAACTCCAGTTCCAGGAGATCTGATGCCCTCTTCTGGCCTCCACAGGCACCAGATACACACTCCAAACACTCAGATATACAAAGTGAAACAAATGAATCTAAAATAATTTTTTAAAATGGTCCTAAGAGGAATCTGAAGAGGCAGGAAGCCAGACTAGCTATTGTGTGATATTATATGCCATATTAAGGTGTCTTAAAACAGGCAGATACCCATCCCATCACACAGTTCACACTTCAATGACCTCAGTGTGTTTATTAATGGTGAATAGCTGCATAAAACATAAGCTTTACTGTTAACTCTTCAGTCCAAAAACCGTAATATAACTAACAGATGTCCAAGTGACCAATTGCATAGATCCTGTTGGTAACTGATCACTCACATACAACAGCAAAACATGGAGCTGTGAGTTATCTCCTTGTTCCCAATAATAACCCTGTGTAACATTTTATAAAAATGGATAATTCCAAAAGGAAAGCAACTCATAAGCATGAAAGTGAAACAAGGAAATGAGCAGCAAATAATGCTAGAACTGAAATTCAGATTAAAGAAAACACAATTACAAACAAAACAGGTCCTTGTGGGAATCTGGGACACTGCCATTGTTTAAGACTCTAGATATGAAGGACTGAGGATGTAGGTCAGTCAGTAGAGTGCTTGCCTGGCATGCAGGAAACCCTGGGTTTGCTCTCTGACAGCACATAAACCAAGCATCCCTCTGATCCCGGCATTTGGGAAATGGAAGTCATCCTTAGCCAGCCTAGGCTCAAATGGTGATGGGAATATTAAAAAAAAAAAGGGGGGGTAGAAAACATCTCAAAGTGATTCTGGCAAAAATCTTTACTTTTAAGGACATTTTGGAAATATTTTATGACAGTGAGTGAAACACTGAAGATCAATCAACATTTAGAAGCTTGGTCATTAGACACAGAAGATAGTCAATATACTAAATTCAAATTACTCTTTACAATATTTTTTTGCAAAGAAATGAGAGAGTGAACTATGTTAACTAGAAACTAGGGTGCAATCAGTCTTAGTCCCTTTTAAGCAAAGCTCTAGTAACTGTCAGCTATGTTACTTTAAAAAAAAAAATGGCAGTGAGTAGAGAATGAAGTCACACTGCAAGGAGAACACAGAAGAGTAAACAAAGATTTGTTATTGCTTGGTTTGGAGGGTCTCACTCTGTGGTGCAGGTCAACCTAGAACTTACTGTATAGACCAGACTTGCCTCAGACTGTTTCCTAAGAGCTGAAATTAAAGGTATGCCCCACCACACCTAGCACAAGAAGGCATTAGTAGTATTCTCAATATTGTTCATTATTTCTCTGAGACCCAGTTTTCTGTCATTCAGTATTCTCTTGGCCAACCCTAGTACAAACTGGGTTTCTGTTAGCTATTATCAAAAGTCCTAGGTGGGCTCGCAGACTGCTCAGTAGTAAAGTGCTGCTGGTCTCCTGATGATGTAATCATGATGACCCAATTTGATCCCTGGAAACCACATAAAGGTGGAAAAAGAGAACCAATTTCACAAAGATGTCCTCTGTCCTCCACACAGGAGCTGTGAGTTCCCATATACACCTACATATCTTACATATACACATACATACAAATAATGAAAGTACTAAGTAAAAATGAAGTGCAACTGAAAATACACATGACAAGACAAAGAAAATACTAAAAGAAAGCACAAGCAAGTCCTGAGCAATGCTAAGGAAATAATAAAAAATCTTATGAAAGTTCTAGGAAGGAAAGTGACAGCATTACACTGAATCCATTCAGGCTGCAACAAGAAAACACTGGCTGATATGAAAGCTGTTGGAGAAATCTAGGAGAGGAGATAAGGACCCTCACCAGGGAACAGACACAGAAAAAAAGGAGCTGATTCTTTTGACAAACAGAAGAAAATTTAAGTAGCTAGCTAGGTATGAGCAAAAAGAAAAGCCTTCAAGAAACAAATCAGAGCATGAGGAGAGGAGGGAGGGGAAGCTGTGGTTAGTATATAAACTAAATTTTTTTAAAAGATGAAAAAAGAAAAAAATTTACGCACTTAATAAAAAGAGAAACAAATCAGTCTTTGGACAGACCAAGTTACAGGTGACTTAACATGGACCACAGAAAAATGGCCCACAAACTGCAATATATGGCAACTCTTTACAGAGAATATTAGTTGAAAACAAAGGTTTAGAAATTAGAAAAAAGACCATTGCCAGGCAGTGGTGGCACACACACAATTAATCCCAGCACTTGGGAGGCAGAGGCAGGCGGGTATCTGTGAATTTGAGGCCAGCCTGGTCTACAAGAGCTAGCTCCAGGACAGCCAGGACTGTTACATAGAGAAATCCTGGGGGCGGGGGGGGGGAGAAGGAAAGGGGAAAAGGGAGAGGGAGAGGGAGGAAGAGAGAGGGGGAGAGGGAGAAAGAGGAAGGGAGGAAGAGGAAGATAGAGAGGGAGAGGGAGACAGGGAGAGAGAGGGAGAAAGAGAGAAAGGGAGAGAAAGGGAGAAAGGGGGAAGAGAGAGAGAAAGAAAGGGAGGGGAGGGAGGGAGGGATGGGAGACCATTAAAGTCACAGGAATAAATGACATGACCCAGGAAGAAAAGGGAGAGTTTAAAAACTACAGAAGGGGCTGAAGAGAGTTTCAGGAGTTAAGAGCATACCACCTTTGCAGAGACACGATTTCCAGTCTCCGCAGCTCACTGCCTGGCTCTAAACCATCTATAACATCAGCTTCAGGGAATCCAACACTCTCTTCTGGCCTCCTAGGCTGTGATGTATGTGATGTACATAAACTCACACATACATGTTAAAATAATATTTATTAATTCTTTTGTTTGTTTTTCAAGACAGGGTTTCTTTGTGTAACAGCTCTGGGTGTCCTGGAACTCACTCTGTAGAGCAGCCTCAAACTCATAGAGATCCACCTGCCTCTGCCTCCCGAGTGAATTTTTTTTTTTTTTTCCGAGACAGGGTTTCTCTGTGTAGCTTTGGAGCCTATCCTGGCACTCGCTCTGGAGACCAGGCTGGCCTCAAACTCAGAGATCCGCCTGTCTCTGCCTCCGAGTGCTGGGATTAAAGGCGTGGGCCACCAAGGCTTCGAGTGAATACTTTTAAATATTTAATTAAAAACAGGGAACTAGTTAAGTATAAGCCAACAAGCTGTGTTCCTCCATGGTTTTTGTTCCAAGGTCGTGCTTGAGTTCCTCCCCTGACTTCCCTCAAAGACAGACTATAGCCTGCAAGCTGAAAGAACCCCTGTCTCCGAGTTTGCTTTTGATCTGAGTATCTATCACAGCAGTGGGGAAACTAGAACAGCCTCACTGACTCAAGATTTGGATTGTGTCAAGTGAGTAGAATGAAAGCTGCTAAAGTGGAATAGCTCAAGTAGTAGGCTGGGAGATCTACATTAGTATTGACTCTAAACTCCAACAGCAGGGGACAATGGATAGGAGGAGAGTAGAGGAGTCAGGACATCAGGACTGACTGAATGAGAAAGCACTAGTCAACAGTACAGCTTTTCATTTTATTTATTTAAAAACAGAGGCTTAGTCAGAGGTAGTGGTGCACAACTTTAATCCCAGAACTTGGGAGGCAGAGGCAGGCTGATTTCTGTGAGTTTGAGGCCAGCCTAGTTTATAGAATGAGCTTCCAGGACAGCCAGGACCTCACGGAAAAACCGTATCTTGAAAAAACAAAACCAAAAAAGTCTTGCTACAGAGTCCAGAGCCCAGGCTGGCCTTAAATCTGTGGTCCTCCAGCCTCAGCCTCCTGAATGCTACCATCGAAAGATATCTGAGTCTTAGGAATACTTGCTAGTGACAGCAAGGTCCACTGTATGGTCATACAAATGGGAGATTGAAGAATCACCTAGATACAGACTAGATTATCTAACAGTAGCTCCCTTAAGCACTGAGGTCACCTTGATTGATAGCAGAACTTAAAACAGGTCTGTAAGCCAGGAGTCAGTCTTGTTAAGTGAGTACAGCTGACCTGGGGAATGTCTTCAATGAGAAAATAGACGACATAGCTTAAAGGAGTGAGAGACTTTGTTTCCTTGATAGAGTAAGCAGTATTATCAGGCTTGCCTTCCCACCACAAAGGACGATGGAAGTAGAAAGAAAAAAAAAAAAAGTGCAACTATTTCTCAGCAAGGCAGACAGCACTTCTGGGCTGGGACCCATGAGAAGGGAAGCATCTTGGTTGGCTTCATGTGTATCCCAGATTCTTCCCATATATCTTTCCACTTGCAAAATAAACTGTGAGACCTACAGCTCAGAATTGAGGGATGC